TTATATTCCAGACAGTTAATTCAAATAATTCATTGATAAGGCATTAATTTAATATATTTTTGTAAATTTTTATTTTTGCACACGTTTAAATCAAAACCCTAAATCTGCCTGTTTCTCCACATTCTACTTCATCCTCATTTCCATGTGACGGGTCACAATTAAGCTTTGATTAAAAATCAATACAGGGCTTTTAAAGTATCAGGAAATAAAGATGTGTTTGTTTGGGAGTGAGATGAAAGATGCTCCAAACAGAGTGAGAGTCTGAAATCAGGCTTTGTTCTGAGCACGTTCAGATATCAGGAGGTCAGAACCTTTAATACAGCAGACATCRAATACCTTCGACTGGAGCTCCTTCAGTTCTGTCTGAGCTGACTGTAGGAGAGCAGAAACATCAGTGAACTCTTCTCTTGCTTTATTAGATGATTTGGTGCCTTTAAGTAAAGCCCTGTGAGAGAAGAAACAAACTAAATTATATTCAAATGTTTTTCTCCCCTGGCATAAAACAGAACATTTAAGCTGTGACATTCTGGGATTTCACCCTGAAAGTTACTTTATCTCCGTCGCTGTGACACAAAACGTACCTTAGCTGTGCAGGCCAGGGATCCAGTGTGGGCCTGAGCATCTGCGCGAGGTTCTGCAGGTTCTCCGCAGCAAAAAGCTCGTTCAGAAGAGCCTTTCCATCGCTTCTGCTCCCTGTAGACTTTTTACAACCAGGAACCAGAGTCAGGAGCTGCTCCAGGAACTGAAGCTGCCGCAGAGGACTCGCTTCGCCCTTAATGAGACACAAACGGAGTTATATTAACACAATCGACACATTTACCAGAGGAGTGCCAACACGTGGACCAACTTCTCACTCTGATCAGGTCCAGATCATCTGCTTTACTCAGCATCAGCTCCTGGCCAAAAGCAAACATTGCTGTTTACAGGAAGAAGGAAAAAAACGGTTACATCAATGCTTTTTGCTCTAAAATGTTAAAGGCTACGTCCTCACCTCTCATTAAAGCATCTGGGTCTTTAGACCTCGCCGACACGGCTTTGGAATTGGAAAAGTTTGGGTTGATGCTGCAATGACACACGTCGAAATAAGAGTCAAGCATAAGTTTTGGTTTAAATTCAACAAGTTCAGGGAAAACGTGCCTGCAGCAGATCCAGGCCAGTATGTGGGTCCGAAGCTCTGAGGGAGAACACAACAGGTCCAACATGCTTTCATCTTCCTGCAGGTACAGATCCTGGACCAGAGGACACGACGCGGCCTGGAGAACAAATGATGACATCATTTTATTTTATATACGGCTAAGTGTTACAAGGAAAACTTACAGTCAAAAGGTTACATCTAAATATGAGAAACAGATTGACTGATGATGCCTAATGTATGCAATTTGGTATTTTTTCATAAAATATATAACAATTATTTCAAAACGTGAGTAAATGTCACGCTTGTCCAAATTKAAATTGTCCATAAATGTTTTTAAATATAACTTTTACCGTCTAAAAGCTTGAAGAAACATCAAACTCAGACAAGATACTAAACACAACGTAACAGCTTGTATTTAACAGAATTAACGCTACTTAAGTAACTGTACTACATAGTATTTTTTTAATTTGTTTACCTGCAGTGAATGATAAACTTGTTGCGCTAAAGGACCCGCCATTTTCCAAATGTTACCTTCTTCTTCTTCTCGACCSGACTGAGGAAATATCTCCTCAGGAGGCGACAGTCAGCGCCCCCTAATGGACAGAATGAGTCACTGCAGCGGCCCATTGACTACAACGSGAACGTTCAAGTTCTATTTATTTTATAGATAATAATACAAATCTAATTTTGCAGTTACAGAACAGAGGGAAAGTGTTGAGTTAACCCTCACTGATTAACAGTTTGCTTTAAAACAACCCAATTTTGTTTTTCCCTCTGGTTAACTGAAGATAATGTAGTTTTCCTTGAACACTCGCTGCTTTTGTCAATAATTTTAATATGTTTTTTTTTATTTTATTGGTCAACAAAAGCACTACAATAAACATGAGTGAAAAATTCAAAGTCAAATTTTATTATGTAGGAGTTTAAACTGGTTTGGACAAAATTTTTCATATAGAAAACGTATGAGAATGACAATAAAATCTAACACAATACTGAACAAAATAAAAACATATATTTTATGGAAGGATTCTTCAACACCTAGAAATCTATTACTCAGCACCTTTGAATGACATGTCGTTCTTTAAAAATTACAAACAGATGTGGATCAAGATTTTTGCCCAGTAGTGTATGGTAGTCTTTTTTAATTTTCGTTTTAAAAAATAAAATACTTTTTTCCTAATTTAATTGCCAAATACTTTGCACATGTCAAATATGTATTTTTTTTATTATTACAAAAGTCTTTTGCATTTATTTTGAAACTACATTTATTGCGCTTCCGCTCCGGTCCAGCAGATGGCGCTCCGATAAATGTCAGTAACGTAAAACAAAAAAGCTGCGCATGCGTATTAGTTCTCCTCCCGGAATACAGAGTAGAACATTTTCAAGCTGATCGATGTTTTCTCCGTTCATTTTGAATAATCTTTCTTAAAGTTTCCATCAGAAAGCATCAGTTTTTCGGTCCACAGCTCCGCTCCGCCGTTACAAATGGAGAAAGGTMGCTCCGTGAAAAAACGCGGCCATGTGGTGGCCTGGCTCAACAAAGCCGAGTGGGACCAGGTTCTGGAGTACCTCTACTCCCAGGTAGTGCTGCATTTGATACGGTTCACCATACCAGTAGATAGGCTAAACAAATGGGTGGGACTCTCTGSTACAGCACTTAGCTGGTTTGAACCCTAAAGGATAGAGACTGTTTTCTGTCTATAGATGATTACAAATCTGATCGAACAAAAATGACCTGTGGAGTCCCACAAGGCTCCATCTTGGCCCCTCTGTTGTTCTACATGCTCCCATTGGCACAATTTATAAATAACAATAAAATAAGTTACCATAATTATGCAGATGACACGCAAATTTATATAACCATATCACCAGAAGACCATGGTCCAATTCAAACACTGATCAACTGCATTGATCAAATTAATGATTGGATGTGCAAAACTCTGTTCAAACAAAAACAAAACTGAAATAATTGTTTTTGGTGCCAAGGAGGAACGATTAAAAGTTAGTACTCAGCTTCAATCAATGACCTTAACAACCAGTAACAAAGCTAGAAATCTGGGTGTAGTCATGGACCTGAATTTTAACAGCCTTATTATAAAAATAGTTCTGAAGTCAACCTATTATCATTTAAAGAATATATAAGAATATATCAAGGATCAAAGGATTGATGCCTCAACAGGACTTTTAAACTTGTCCATGCATTTATTTTTAGTAGACTCACAGGCCTCTCTAAAAAAAATCAATCAGGCAGCTGCAGTTAGTTCAGAGCTGCTGCTCGAGTCCTCACAAAGACCAAGAAAAGGGACCAAATAACTCCAGTTCTTAAATCTTTACACCGGCTCCCCGTCTATCAAAGAGTTGATTTCAAAATACTGCTACTGGTTTATAAAACGCTGAATGGTCCAGGGTCAAAATGTATGACTGATCTTCTGGTCGGCTGTAAACCACCCAGAGCCCTGAGGTGGTCAGGGACAGGCCTGCTGTCTGTTCCCAGGGTCAGAACCAAACACGGAGAGGCAGCCTTCAGTTTTTATGCTCCTCACATTTGGAAYAAACTTCCTGAAGACTGCAGGTCGGCTGAAAGTCTCAGCACTTTTAAATCAGAGTTGAAGACAGTTCTGTTTGCCGCTGCCTTTCCTTAGATCAGACATCTGCAGATTTTCTGCACTGCTGCTTTTATCTGTTATTTTTTAAATGTATTTTATTTGTTTTATATTATTGTGTTTTATTTTATATGTTGTATTCACTGTGCTGATACCTTGCTTTTAATGTTTTATGTAAAGCACTTTGTCTTGTACATGAAATGTGCTATAAATAACCTTACCTTACCTTACCAGGATGTGGCCCTGCAGAGGTTCGCGGTGGACAGGATCTCGGCCTGGAAGTCTCGGTACGCCAACAGCACGCCCGTGGCGGTGGACTGCACGGCGGACCTGGTGAGGTGCCAGGTCATGGACCGGTCCGGGCAGCTGAGCGGGGACGAACTGGTCATGCTTTACGGGACGGCCCTGGTCCGGTTCGTGAACCTGATCACCGAGCGGAAGCAGGGGATGGTAGCCCGGCCTCTGAGGCACCTGGCCGGGAAACTGAACATCCCGGAGTGGGTGGTGAACCTGAGGCACGAGATCACCCACAAGAAGCTGCCCACTCTGAAATGGTGCCGGAAGGGGTGCAAGGTGGTTCTGGAGTGGCTCCATCAGACGTACTGGTCCAGGCAGCTGGGAAGTGGTCCTGATGAGGACTGGGACTCTGACGGGGAGGATGAGGACCAGAAGCTCCTCGCCAGACAACAAGAGATGGAGAACTACAAAACAGCACGAGAACTCCTGATTGCTTACGAGAAGGACCGGTTCCAGAGTCTGGAGAAGGACCGGTTCCAGAGTCTGGACGGGCTCCAGGAGGACAAAGACAGGAACCCGTCCCCCCTCGCAGACCTGAGCTGGCTGCTGGGGGAGATCAAACAGTTTGCCCTGGAGTCCACGGAGATGTTGGTGGACGTTCTGGTGGAGGACGGGTTTCTGGTTCCGACGGCRGAGCAGCTGGAGACGTTGGACCTCGATCCCTCCGAGAACTCCAGCCCCACCGAACCCAGAGTCCCCCAGGTCTTCCTGCGGTTCTGGCTGCCCCTCCTGAAGATGCTGAACTCCCCGTCCTTCATCCACCTCCTCCTGGAGAAGCTGTTCCAGGAGCTGAAGCTACTCAGCCCGAAGGACCACCACAGAACTTTCTATCTGTCCTCCTGGGTCTCGGAGCTGCTCGTCTGCAACAGCAACCGCTTCGAGTACCGCTTCGAGACCAAGGGGCAGAAGAAGGCCCGGGCCAGGGACCGGGTCTTCGTCAACCGGATGCAGCTGCAGTGGCAGCAGCTGCTGTCGGCCTGCCTGGACGCCCCCTGCGTCAGCACGCCTCACCTGCTCCAGCTCATCCTGGACGACATGGAGCACCCCCTCCCTCCGGAGACCCAGCAGAACCTGCTGCRGCTCTGCTCCATTTACACCCAGCCCGCTCGCTCGGACCCCGGCTCGGCCCGGGGCCACCAGCAGGTCTACACGCTGGAGAGTCTGCAGGAGAAGCACGGCCAGCTGTGGCGGAGCGCGGGGGGCTCAGACAGAACCAGCCCTCCCCAGGAGCTGAAGCGGGCCGAGGATCTGGCTGAGAAGGCGAAGCTTCTCCGAGGTTCCCCCTGGCAGGTGTGTCCYGACAAAGTCCAGTGGAAGGACTTTCCTCTGGGGAAAGTTCCGGGACAGTCTGACGACCCATCCTGCCTCATGGTGGAGACCTTCTCACCCATGACCATCTTGGACCAGCCGGTGGACCTGGACAGCAGCGGGACCCAGAATGTTCCGGGAACCTCCGGACCCACCAGAACCGCCGAAGGCCTCGTCTGGAGCCAAAGCGACATCAGCAGACTGAAGTCTGGACTGAAACTTTTCTGAGAATCTCTGATTTCCTCAAAATGTCTGTTTCTGAGAGGACAGAATAAAACTCATGAATTTATTTTCAACTCATTAAAAAAATGTTTGCTTACTGAAAAAATACACGCTGATTCAGTTTGAACAGGATTTTCAGCTTCAGGAAGCTGGAATCAGATGTTATTTTGTTAAAAAGTCTCTAAAAAAACATTTAAAATGCTTGTTTTAATATTTCAGCTCCTGAAGTGACATGTTATTTCTAATTTTCACTTTACAGTTTTGTAAAAATCTGAAGTTAAAGTTCGGACCTGGAGACATTTGAATCTTTTTTCCATGATGATGATTTCAGAAACAGTTTTGTTTTTGTTCTCAGCTGAAAATCACTGAAGAATAATGAACAGGTTTTGTGTTTTATGTTCTTGTCTCTTTTCATAAATATTTGAAATAAAAAGTTTTTCTTTTATTTCTGCTGATTACCTGAGCTGAGTGTTGGTGCGTTACAAAAGCTAAAAAAGAAACTTTAAACAGATGAAAAACACAAAAGTTTTAGGTTAAAATCTTTATAAAGGCAGAAACCCTCAAACCTTCAGATTCAAAAGTTTCTTCAGATTTGTTAATCCCAGTCTGAGCGATTTTGTTGCACCAGCAGATTGAAAAGGGTAAAATATTTTTATTTGAGCAAAAGATAGGACTTAAACTACAAAATAAGATTCAACTAAAGCAGCTCTGGAGAAGGATGAGGAGGAGGTTGGAACCGACCTCCTGGGAGAGGAAGATGAAGATGATGAATATTAATCAGTGGAATTACTAAATCCAAATGAAGTATTTTATGTGCATCACTTTGTCTTTGAGTTTWAATGCTCTTAAGCCAATTTAAAATCAATCTGGCCTGCTGCCTTTGGGTGAACGATGTGAAAGGTCCCAGGTTTTTTGTTTCCATTTTTACCCTGCTACAGTGTCCCTGGGTTTCTTAGTTTTAACTTAAAAAGAAGTTCGGAAGAGTTAGTAGTTTAAAAAAAAAACAACTTCTGAAATGTGGGTATGTAAAGCTGTCAGAGGACTTAAACACTTCATAACGGGCAACTTATTTTTTTGTCACTTCAGTAGAAAACAAAACCAAATATTAGTTTATTTAGTTTATTTATTTCTTCAGTGATTTTTTTAAAGTGAAGAGAAAATAGAGACAGAGAGAAAAACAGA